CTGACGGCTTTTTCTGTTTTTCGACGGGCCCCGAGGGTGGTAAAAATCTTGGTTGTGAGCTTTGGGTCAACGCCGCGGTTCCGTATGCCAAAGTTGGGGGAAGGGACGTCTATCTCAAAGCTGCTCATTGTCTAGTCGTGGAGGCGGAGCCGCGTAGCTTGGTCGTCAAGATCAGCGCCCCGTATTGGAGCACAGTTGTAATGGTCTGCCATGCACCCTGTATGGAGGCGAAGATGGACGTTCGCAAGCGGTGGTGGGACCATGCTAAGAGGATCGTCAGCCGCTTTGGCGTTGATATCATACTAGGGGATGCCAACGCACGCTTGGGAGACAAACAGTCAGAGGTAGTAGGGACTTTCGGAGGCACTTCGGAGGACAGTAATGGGGAGTTTTTCCATGCTTTGTTATGTGAGGCACGTTTGGCTGCTGTCACCACCATGTCTCCTGCGGCCACGCCTACATACACATACATGCACCACTCTGGGTCCCAGCATCGCATCGACTATGTCTGTGCTCCGCTATGCTTGGCATGCCATGTCACGGAGCATGGGGTTTTGCACGATATCGATGTCGACCGCAGGCACCAGGACCACTACCCAGTTTATGCTAAGTTTCGGTGGAATGAGCACATCATGGTCGGCAAAAGGGTTCCCGCCATAGATGTGGCCGCCACGCGTGATCCTGTCAAGCGTGAGGCTTTCGAGAAGGATCTCCTGAATTGCCCCCCCTTGCACTGGTCCCTTGATGTGAACCGACACTTTGAATTGCTCACAAGTATGATGTACCAGTGTGCTGTCAACAACTTTGCTCGAGGTAAAAAGGGACCAGTGCGCAGCTATATTCGAGCTGAAACGCTGTGGGCCATCCGCCTTCGGCGCACTGTTCGTGGTGTCTTGCGTGCCTTTCGCAACTGTGATGCCCGTCCGCTGTTGAGCTTTGCCGTATCCCTCGTGCAGGCTGACGACGAGCCTGACATTGCTGCGGCCAGGCTTGCATTTCCCGATTTCGACGCATGTGTGGGAGTCCTGTGTTTCGGAGCCAGACTCTGGGTTGAGCAGCTCCAGGGGGTTCAGGAATTTCACGAAACCTGCCTTATGTTTCTTCGGACGTCTCAGCGCATTATTAGGAAAAAGCTGAGGGGGGACCGTGCCGATTTTCTCGTCGAAGGGGCCCAAAAAGTCAACGATGCTATTGCTGCCAGTGATGGCCGGGAGGAATGGGGTTGGATGTCGTGCTTGATGGCCTTTGGAGGCTCTCGTAGCAAAGGTGACAAGGGTGCGCTACCCATGCGATTGGACACCACTGGCGTCCCATTTGAATCGCGAGAGGCTCTCGCGCATGGGCTGTTGCAGCACTTCGCCGCGGCAGAGAAGGCGTCCATTTGCACTGTGGAAGAGTTGGTCGTTGCCTACAATGCGCAGCAAAAAGCATTCACATCCGTCGGTGCCAGAGAGTTGTCTAGTTTGCATTCCCTTGATTCCCTGCGTTGCGACCTGCTTCGCGCTTCGCGTAAGAAAGCAGGTGGTCCCGACATGCTCACAAACGATGTATATTTGGCTGCCCCCGATGTGTGTGCTCGTATGTTGCTCCCTCTGTTGACTAAAGTCCAGCTCACCTGTAGAGAGCCTTTGGCATGGAAAGGGGGTGTCGCACACGACCTCTTTCAGAAAGGAGACCCCCGCCTGCTTAGCAATTTTCGAGAGATTCTCCTGGGCGTGCATGTGTGCAAGCATCACCATAAGTTTTTGCGGCGTAAGATTGTGGAAGTAGCGTCGGCACTGCTTGATATCGACCAACACGGGGGACGGGCGGGAAGGGGCACAGCTAGTGCGTCATTGCAGGTCAGGGTCTTCCAGGATTTTGCACACTCGAGGGGGTGTTCCACGGTGCTCTACTTTACGGACCTTAAAGCCGCCTTCCATACGGTCATACGTGAATTTTTGGTGCCGTTGCCGTCCGCCGCAAGCGAACTAGATGACGTCGTGGACGATCTTGCATTGCCATTTGCATTGGAGGGGGTGTTGCGCGAGGTTTTGGCTCAACCCACTGTCTTTGAGAGAGTTGGTGACAAGCACCTGCAAGACACGGTGCAGGACGTCAACTCGTGCACCTGGTTTCAAGTGAAGGGAGCAAAGTCGGTGGCGCGTGCAGTCATAGGTGCACGACCAGGCATGCCGCCAGCCGATGTCTTCTTCACTCTTGCGTTTGCTCCTGTCCATGAGAAGCTGAGAGGTAGATTCTTTGCAGAAGGGATTACGATTGATATTCGGGAGTTGCTGCCAGAATTGCCCATATGTTTTCGCGACAGGGAGCGTGACACTGATTCCGTCGTCGGATCACCGTCATATGTTGACGACTTGGCGGTATTGCAGATGAGCACGAGCGCGCGTGATTGTCCTCGCCTCGCCTCCGTCGTTGTTCGAATTGTGCATGAGGTCATGTCGTCGTCTGGTTTTGTCGTTAACTATGGGGAGGGTAAGTCTACCTTGCTTTTTGGGCTTGAAGGTACGGGGAAAGGTGCAGTGCAGGCTAAGCTTGCAGATATGAAGGGCCAGTTCCAGGTTTCGAGTATAGGCAAATGCGTTTATATGGCCAACGTTTGCAAGCCTCTGGGATCCATGATCCACGCGTCGCGTACCATGACGGCGGAGCTCATGCACCGTCACCGCTCTCAGCTAGGAGTTTTGGGTGCTCTTAAGCGTGCTGTGTTTAAGAACAATAACGACTTGGACGTGGCTCATAAGTACAAGTTTGGGGCTGCCTACTGCCACAGTCGGGTCCTGTTCCATTGCGCCGTGTGGTCTGGGCTTTCGTGTGGTAACCAGCGGTTCTTGGAAACTGCTTACTTGGCCTCAATGCGGGCCGCGATGGGGTACAGGCGTCAGGAGGAGGATGATTTGCGTGCCTGGTCCAACCATGAGTTGTACGTTGCTTGCCGCCGATTGCCGCCTCTCGTCGTGATCCAGCTGAGGAGGCTTCGTTTTTTGCCCAAACTCCTGGACTCCGCTTCCCAGGGCCTTTTGCACATGTTGGACGCCTTGATTGAGGCGAAGGGGAGCTGGGCACAGATGCTCAGCGCGGATCTGGTATGGATGGCCGATCGAATCAGCGCGCCTGCAATACACCGTCCCGTTGGCGGCACGTCTTGGTGGATTTACATGGCCCGCGCGGACAGAGCGATGTGGACCTCTTGGTGTCGGGAGGCCGAGCGCAGTGCCCTAGCAGAACACTTAGCGTTGGCCGAGGTAGCTGTATGGAGAAGTGATTTGCACGATATATGCTTGCGCGGTAACCTTCCTGTACCCCATATTCTCAAGCCTGCTGCGAGCGAGCTCGTTTATCCTTGTCGGGACTGCGACCTAGTCTTCAACTCTAAAGTGGCATGGTCGCGGCATCGAACACTGGCTCATCCAGTGTTCGACTTGGCGGGACGCGTCGCAGTGGGCACGGTCTGTCAAGCATGCTGTTTGGATTGGAGCAGGCGCAGCCGCCTGCTTCGACATCTCCGCTTCGGATCGCGGCACTGTTTAGCTCAGCTGGTGTATCATATGGAACCGCTATCAGTCGAGCAGGTGTGTGAGCTACGTGCTGAAGACGCCCGTGAGGCGCGTGCTGCCCGTATGCGTGGGGAGTGTCAGAACTATGCTGCAGGACCGCCCGTGAGGATCATAGGCCCTGCCATGGGAGGCGAGGTGGATCCAGTCGTCATCAGGGCGACCACGGAGGGTGTGGAGCGAGCCCAGCACCAGGTGGAGTGTGATGTGCAATCGTCTGGGCTCCCTCGACAACCGACGTTCACGAGGTATTATCTCCATCTTTTTTGTGGCCAGAGGCGTCAGGACGATGTCCAGGCCCACTTTGAAGTTTTCCAGGCGCGTTCGTTGCTGCCTGTCATCATGCTTTCAGTGGATGTAGCTAACAGCCCCGTTCGAGGTGATCTCACTCAGAAAAAGTCTGTGCAGCAGCTTCTGTCGCTAATATGGGACGGTGCAGTCCTGGGCGCGGTCGGAGGACCCCCATGCGAGACCTGGTCTAAAGGCAGAGCTAACCCACCTCCGTGCGGAGGCGACAGGCCACGGGTGTTGAGATCCGACAAGTGGCTCTGGGGCTTGCCTGCTTGCTCGAAGTCCGAATGGGAACAAATAGTGCTTGGTAATCGTTTGCTCCAGACTATGTTGCAGGTTGCATATGTGTGCATGGCAAAGGGTATTGCTTGCATTGTCGTACACCCCCTCGTGCCTCCTCTTCCTCACCTCCCCTCAATATGGCGCCTGCCAGAAGTACGTGCGATGAGGGGCATGTCCCGACAGGCACGCGTGGAGTTTTTGAATGTTGATCAGTGTCAGTGCGGGGCCCGTTCTCGGAAACCGACAACCCTGCTCGCTGTCAACTCTCCTGGTTTGAAAGATTTGATCCGCCAGCTCCCAGGCAGCGGTATATGTAATCATGAGTCGCATCCTGAGGAGTTGGTGGGCACCTGTGCGAATGGCCAGTTTTCTGCCGCCGCTGCCAAACTGTACCCGTCTTTGTTATCCAAAGTCATTGCTCAGTCTCTGCTCTTGGCGGCTCCCTCAGACATGACCTTGTTACAGGCAGGAACAGTGCCCGAGGTTCCAGCAGAGGTCGAGGAGTTTTACGTGCCCTTCGACCCGTTCTACGAAGGACACGGGTGGGGGCAGCTCGCGTCGGACAGGCACCGTTAATTGTCTTGCTGCCGCCGCTGCTGCCTCTCCCTTGCATGATTCTTCAGTGCGGTCTTCGGCCTCCATCGGTGCAGGAAGAAGAAGGAGGAGGAGGAGGAGGAGGAGGAGGAGGACGAGGACGAGGACGAGGAGGAGGTGGAGGAGGAGGAAGAGGAGGAGGAGGAGGAGGAGGAGGCCGACCCTCGGTGAAGACGAGGGTGGCGCCCAGTCAACCAATCGATCCACGATCTGCCCCAGGACGCCCAAGTTCTTCGCGACGCGGGCATGCCATTGGTTGTGTTTTTGTTGTTCTCCGGCTCCTGCGGCGACAGCTCCGCGGCCCTGCGCGGCACCGCCTCGCGCGCCGCCCGCAGGAGGTCGGCCTCGCCCGGGCCCTCCGCCCGCACCAGCGCCAGCGCGTACAGCAGGTTGGCCACCTCCTCCGGGCCACGACGGCGGCAACGACGGAGAGCGCGACGACGACGACAACGGTGACGAGGACGACGACAGCAGCGACGACGACGGATGCGATGACGGCAACAACGGCGGCGACGAGGGCGGCGACGGCGACGACGGCGGCGACGTCGACCGCGGAGACGACGACGACGGCGATGACGACGGCCAAGACGACAAACGGCAGCTTCGACGGCAAGCGCGAGGACGACGACGACGGCGGGGATGACGGCGACACGACGGCGGCGACGACAACGGCGACGGCGAACACGACGACGACGACGACGACGGCAACGACAACGGCGGCGACGACGACAACGGCGGCGAAAAAAACGACGACGAAAACGACGGCGACGACGACGACGACGGCGAGCGCAAAGACGACGACGGCGACCACGACAACGACGTCGACGACGACGCTGACGACAACGGCGGCGACGACGCCGAAGACGACGGCGGCGGCGACCACGACAACGACAACGACGACTGTGACGACGGCGACGGCGCAGACGACGACGGAAGCAATGACGAGGAGGAAAACGGCGACGGCGACGACAACGGCGACGACGACGACGGCGAAAACGACGACGACGGCAAGCCACGGCGACAACGAAAACGACGACGACCGCGACGACGACGACGGTGACAACGACGACAGCGGCGGAAACGACGACGATTACGACGAAGACGACGACGACGACGACGACGAAAACGACGGCGAAACCGACGAGGACGACGACAACCACGACGATGGAAACGGCGGAGACAACGACGGCGACGACGACGACAACGACAACGACGACGGCGACAGCGAGGACGACGACGACGGCGACGACGACGGCCACGACGATGTCGATGGCGAAGACGACGACAACGAAGAACCCAACGACGACGCAGACGACGACGACAGCGACGACGCCGACGGCGGGGACGACGGCAACGGTGGCGACGGCATCGACGACGACGGCGACGGCGAGGCCGACCACGTCGACAATGACGAAGACGACGACGCCGACGGTGACGGCGAGGACGACGGCGAAGGGAAATCCGACGACGACGACGACGACGATGGCGAAAACGACGGCGACGGCGACGACGACGGAGAAGACGACGACGACGGCAAAGACCGCGACGACGGCGACAGCGACGACGACGGCGAACACAACGACGATGACGACGACGACGGACGACGACGATGGCGACCGCGGGCACAACGACGACGGCGAGAACCACGACGACGGCGATGACAACGACGGTGGCGATGGCAACAACGATGGAAACAACGACGACGGCGACGACGAAAACGGCGACGGCGACGGCGACGACGACAAAGACAACGACGACGACGACGACGACGACGGCGGCGACTACAAAGACGACGGCGGCGACGATTCCGACGTTGACGGCGCTGGCGACGACGACGGCAGCGACGCAGGCGGCGACGGCGAAGACGTCGACGACGGCGACGACGACGGCGTCGGCGCCGACGGCAACGACTTTTGCGCCAGAGGGGCGCGATACTCAGTCTCGCTGGTTGTTCTTCTTCCCGTTGAAATTCTTGGCCAGCGCGCTGGTGCCTGGCTGCAGCCAGCCTAGATCCTGGACGGGTTCTGGCGACCATCTGCCCGGGCTTCTCCTCGCACTTCGCCGCGAGCTTGCGCGCGCCCTCGCGGCCGATGCAGCCGCGTTCTATCTTGCTGCTCGGGTGGGCCTCCTGGTTGCCGATCTGTGGCCGACTGCTGCGTGTGCCCACGGGTCCAGCGCGGACCATGGCCATCTCCCTGCGTTCGCCGCCGAGCCACCCGTCCGCTGTCGCCATGAGCGTGCGCGGGCCGCACTGCACGCACTGAAAGTGCTTGCCGCTCACGTTTTGGGATATTGCGCTTGGTATCTGCGTGCCGCTTGGCCCGCCTCCTCTTCGCGATGTAGGCCCCCCCCCCCTGGTCTTTTGGCCAGGAGCCTGCGACGGCTCGATGTCGATCGAAGCCATGGGAGTGGCGCAGGCAGGGCCCCTGATCTGGGCTGCCGCCCCTTAAGCGGGGCCTGCGGTCATCGCCTGCGCCCTCGTCGCCCGCGCCTGCTCGATGCTGCCTTCCACGAAATCGTTCGCGAACGAATTCCCGAACCGGCCAGTCGGGTTGGCCTTCGCCTCCGCCGCCTCGAGCATCCATGTGATTCTCTTCTTTGCAGCGATGACCTCCATGCTTTTTGCGCCGACCCGCGCCGCGACCCACGGGTCGACGTTGGTCGTCGGTATATTGGCCTCGTTCGGCTGCGCCGTGCCACGCGCCGCGTGGGACGAATCCGGGGTGTTCTGGATCTTGCCGAGGTTGCGACCCGCCTCCATCGCGTCCTTCAACGCCATTAGCTCTCCCATTCTGACGCTCTGCCTCCACCCGGCGAGTGTTCCACGAGCTCCCGCAACTACCCTGGCCTCGCTGGCGCCGAAGGCGTGGAGATCGACCCAGCCCGAGGCTACCCTTATTATCCTTGGGTCCATGGCGCACTCGACGCCCGACGCGTCGCCCCAAGTGATGGGGCACTACTCGCGGCCGATGTTGTCCAAAGTGCTGGTCATCTCGTAGTGCTCCACGCCAGCCTCCGGCGGGGGGTTGACCGTCGCCAAACTTTTCGGCGGCTTGCCGCGTCGCCACAAGCGCGGGTGGTGCTCTGCAGCTGCCTCGGCTCTCTTCACCAGGCGCCTGGACTTCTGACGCTCCTCCAGCGTCTCGTTGCGCCGTGGGCGCATGGCGTCGTCGATCTCGATGCCGGGGTCCGCCGCGCGCTGCCTCGGCAAAGCGCCGCCCGCCATGATCGCGAGGTGCGCCCCCGCCTTGTCGCGCTCGCCCTGCTTCCTCAGCCTGTCCAGCAGCCTGCGCGCCGAACGAAAGTCCGCGCCTCCTCCGAGCCCGCCGCCCGCGTAGTGCGACGCTGACTTGGCCGCTTGCCGCTGCTCGATGGTCTTGCTCAGCGCCAGGTTGAGGTCGCTGGCCGCCGATGTCGCTGGGGTCGTCGCCGCCGGAAATCTCGCCGTCTCTGGGGGCCCAGTGCCATGGCCCAGCGGGCTGCCAGCCTAGGTTCATAAACGTGACGACCATCGCGCGCGTGACCTGGGTAGCTCCTCCCCAGCGGTGCTTCGCACCCTCCTTCGCCATCGCTGCGACTATCTTGGGCCAGATGGTGATCGCCTTCCTCCTGCGCTGCGTGTCGCCGATGATGTGCTGATAATGCGCACCCAAGAATCCAGCAGTGCGAATGCTGCGCCGAATGGCGGGTCGCTCGCGCCGATCTCCAGCTGTAGCAGCGTCGCGAGGCAGCGGCCCCTCGGCCGAGGAGCCACCGCTGCTGCGAACCTACGCCTCCACTTCGTGACCGCGCTGGGTGCCATGCCGAACACCTTGCACGCGTGGGCTGCGCGCGGTTGGACCCTCGCGGCGCGACTGCCCTTGCGCCTCCTCTGGCTCGCCCGCCGCTCCTCGCCATCCTCAGCGCCTTCGCCACCTTCTTGTGCTAGTGGGGCGTCCGCTTGCCGTGCTCGCCCTTGCCGCCCGCGATCCGGTGGCCCCTGTCGATGCCGACGTCTGGGGCCTGGTTCTCCCTCTCCACCGAGACGCTGCGCGCCCGCAGCTTCAGCGCAACCTTCTTCACCGCGTACATGTCGATGCCGATGAGGGCAGACTGGCCCGAAACGTGAGCTTGGCCTGCCTCGCTCCTGCCGCGAAGTCGACCCCCGCTTCCCACTTCTGTGAGCTGCTTGACCATCTCGCGCCTGAATCCCTCAATCTTGATCGTAACATCGTTGACCCACGAACGCACCAGGACCTGCTGGAACATGTTGCTGCGTCCTCTGGTGTCGCACGGCGACGGCGACGACGACGACGGCGACGAGAACGGCGACGACGACGACGAAGGCGACGGCGACGGCGACGGCGACGACGACGACGGCGACTGCGATAGATAAGACGGAACAGACGACGGCAGCGACAACGACGAAGTCCATGTTCTACGACGCCAACGACAAAGACGATTACGACGGCGACGACACCAACGACGACGACGACGAAGACGACAAAGACGACGACGACGACTACGACGACGACTGCGGCGGCGCCGGCGGAAACGGCCACGAGACGTCGACGATGAGGACAGCAACGACAACGGCAACGACAACGACGGCGGCGGACGAAAACGACGGCGACGAGGGCGACGACGATGATGGCGAACCCCACGACGACGACGGCGGCGACGACGACGACGATAATCGACGACGACAGACTGAGACGACGACGACGACGGCGACGGCGATGACACGTGCGACCGTCGACGACGACGACAACGATGACGACGACAGCGACGGCGAATATGAACACGACAGCGGCGACGATGCGGCGACGGAGGCGCCGCCGACGACGTCGATACCGGCGACGGCAGCGGCGTTTGCGATGACGACGGCGACGGCAGCAAGTGTCGACGACGACGTCGACGACGACGACGGCAACGACGACAACGACGACGGCGACGACGACGACGGAAACGGCAACGACGACGACGGCGTCGGTGAAGAAAACGACCACGATGACGCCGACGACGACAAAACCACCGACGACGGCGGCCACGATAACGACGACAGCGACGATGACAAACGACGGGGGGCGACGTCGACGACGACGACGGACGACGACGAAGGACGACCGTGACCACGACGTCGTCGACAACTGCGTCGCTGATGACGCTGGACGACGACGGACGACAACGACGACGACTACGTCGACGACGACAGCTGACGACGACGACGACGTTTGACCACGACGACGACGACGACGGACGACGGACAACGACGGACTTCGGGGACGACGACGACGACGGACGACGACGACTACGACGACGACGACGAAGGACGACGACGACGAACGACGACGACGACGACGCGGACGTGGCGAGGGGCGGCGGGCCAAAACGCGGGCGGCGCAGGCTCTGCTCCGTGGGAAGGAGGGGACCTGGCCATTTCAGGGGGAAGAACCCTGACATGCTCACATCGTGGCAACAAGTCAAAAGGGAAGGTTCTCGTCGTTTTGTTGTTTTTTCTCTCTCTCTCTCTCTTTCTCTCTCTCTGGGGGCCCTCACAGGGCCCCGAGATTCAAAAAACGACCCCAAGTGGAGAACGGGCCCCAGGGAAAGGGTCGGGACTTCTGGGGACCGCGTGTTGGAACAATCAGGACGTCGCATGTCTGGGGAAACAACAACGGGCACTCAAACCTATAGGGCTAGATCGGGCATGTCCTTCTACAGGCGGATTTTGTGATGTACACCAAACTTGCCAACCGAATATCCAAAAGGTGAAACAATAATCGAGAATCGTCCTGGTTCTATTTTCTGGCTATCTTCAAATTGTCCTCCTGTAGAGAGCAGGAGCGAGGGAGGGCAAGGTGATGAAGGCAACAAAGGTATGGGTGCGAGTTGTCGGACCACAAAGGCGGCTTCCTTTCGAGCGGGGACTCCCATCCGACCGCACACACACACACACCCATAGCCCCCCCTCATAATTCCACCCCGAGAAGGTGGGGGTCGCATGGATATGGGTGCTAGTTGTCAGCTCATGAAGATTGGCTCAACATACGTTCCAGGATTTCTGTGAAGTACCCAGCTGCCCTCGTCTCTGCAGCCTGTGTGGCACATCAAGCAATCGTTCCTATTATATACCTCTTGCTCCTTCCTCCTCGAGCGGGTTCCTTGCTATTCACGACCCCCGGTCCCCTCCCCCCCTCCATTGGTAATGCCGCGATTCGCGCCAGCGAAATCTTGGAATTCACCATTCCCATGCACTCCCAGGCGGCGCCGACGCGAATCGCGCCGTTACCAGCCCCCTCCTCACCCCTCCAATAACCAGGGGGTGCCCACTTGTCTCCTGCGCGTTGCAGCTGCCCGCGGCACCCGCCAAGCGCGCACAGACCTTGGCTACGGCAGCCACATGCGACCTCTACTCCGAGACATGCTCGCGCCGTGGAAAACATCAGGACGGGATATGTTTGCCTTCTTCAGCACCCAGGAGCCCTCGCGAGGCCCTGGGACCGTCGAAACACATCGCGGGACGAAAGACCTGCTCCGGGGAAAGGGTCGGGACTTCCAGGGACCCCGCACTGAATCAAGTCAAATAATCGCACGTCTGGGTACCCCATGCGGGCCATAGTGCCGCAAAACCAGCTGGGGCTCAGAATAAGTGGTCCCCAGTGAGGGTGTCCGACGCCCCAGCGCCAATGGCACCTGCAGGGTGTTAGGGCTCACAAGCCGTCGCAGACTGGCGGCGCGCGTGGCCTTCCAAGAGGGCAGGTGTAAAAGGGGACCAGAAACACACGCACACACACAACACACACACACAACACACACACAACACACACCATACACACACCATACACACACGCACACACATGCGCGCGCGCGCGCACACACACACACACCACACACACACACACCCCACACACACACACACCACACACACACACCCCACACACACACACCCCACACACACACACCCCACACACACACACACACACACACACACACACACACACACACACCACACACACACACACACACACACACACGCACACACGCACACGCACACGCACACGCACACACACAAACACACACCATACACAAACACGCAAACACACACACACGCACACGCACACGCACACGCACACGCACACACAACACACAACACACAACACACAACACACAACACACAAAAAAATCAAAACCAGGGCGCTCAATATTTTTCAATGCTTTCTGGATGTTCGTCGTCCCCCCATATCTCTCATTTGAAACAGAATTCCTGGGACTCAGCGATTCTTTGTGTCCGTGATTTTTTTCCCTCCTGCTGTGGGGCTTCTCGAAGACACGCAGTCCGTGGGCTCCAGGAGAAGCCGACCAGCCACAACTGGGGGAGCTGTGGTCCTTACCCCCCTGGGGGAACCCATCGCATCGACGATCTCTCGAGAGGGGTGTCGAAATCGATGGGTCCCCCAGGGGGGTAAGGACCACAGCTCCCCCAGTTGTGGCTCCCCTGAGAAGGCGTCCCAGAGGGTGGGAGGGTCTCCCCGCGGTCAGACGGCCGGCCCTCCCCCTTGGGGAGGGGGGGGCGCCGCCGGGGGGGGGGAGACTGGCTCAGGGCGGGAAACAACGACCCTGCAGTGGGCAACGCTCCTCCTCCTCCTCCTCCTCCTCCTCCTCCTCCTCCTCCTCCTCCTCCTCCTCTCCTTAAGAGGAGGAGGAGGAGGAGGAGGAGGAGGAGGAGGAGGAGGAGGAGGAGGAGGAGGAGGAGGAGGAGGAGGAGGAGGGCAATGCATCCCCGATGTGGGTCGGCGATAAGCCTCCTTAATGGCGAATCCGCACGCTCCATGGCCCCCTCTGGCGAATCCGCCCGCGATAGGTCGGCGACAGGCCCCCTTACGGCGACAGGTCGGCGTTGGGCCTCGATGGGTCGGCGAGAGGCCCCCCATGTGGCGATGCATCGCCGATAGGTCGGTGACAGGCCCTCATCGACGATCAGCGGGCGAGTGACCGTCGATGCGTTCCCGCATAAGCCTGGCGACGTCGCCCCCGACACCTGGGCCCCCTCCAGGTCGCCAGTCGGGGACGCACTGACCTGGGCCAATGCGCACCTGGATCATTTGGGCCTTGCAGGATCCTGCAAGACCCTGCAGGATCCTGCGCGCTGACCCGGGTCGGTGCACCCCTGGCATTGCGGGGTCCCGCAGGATCAAGCGCCCTGACTGACCCCCGTTTGCATGGACCCCCGTCTCAAGGCTCCCGGGCCACAGGGGACCGAACAAATACATAAACATAAAAACTCGGAGGTCCGCGCGGATTTCTTGGATCTGCGCTGGGCCCCCTCCCTGGCGCGCGGAGCGCGCCAAGGGCGGCGCCGGAGGCACCGCCAGGGGGCCCAGCGTGGATCCCAGAAATCCGCGTGGAGCGCCACAAGTTTATGTTTATGGCGTTTTTTCTTCTGCGACCCCCCGTCTCCTCCTCCACCTCCAGGAGCGCCTACAGACTTGATTCACCCCAAAATTGAATTCCTCGTCGAACCCACAGGAGTCTCAAGGCTCCCGAGCCAGCCCCCTTGGTGCGCCGCCGGGGACCGGTGTCCAGAGGGTCTCCTGCCTCACCCGCAGCAGGGCCCAGGCGTAGACGATGTTCACCAGCGCCCGCGGGCGGAAGCGGCCCGGGCTCACCTCCGCCTGCGCCCTGGAGAGCTGCCGCACCGCCTGCTGCGGAGGCTCCTCCCTCAAAGCTTGGGTCGGGCATGTCCCCCCCCACAGGCGGATTTCGAACGAAAAAAAAGACCAGACTCAAAATCAGCGAGCGAAGAACGGTATAAAATAAACTTTTTCGCTGTCGGGGGCGCCTGGCCCTGGGCGGCTGGAAAGTTTATCATTACCCCTACGGTGCCACCGTAAGGGTATAAACTTTCCAGCCGCCCAGGGACAGGCGCCCCCGACAGCGAAAAAGTTTATTTTATACCGTTCTTCGCCCGTTAACAAAAAGGAATCAACCAAGAATCAAAAGCAATGAAAGATGGTCCCCGGATTATGGGGTTGGACTATCTGTGAATATTCCTCCAGTAGAAGGACGAGCCCGAGTCAGCTCATGGCTCGACCCCTCGTGACGGCGCGCACAAAGAAGGCCTGGGGAGGGGGACAGTTCCTTAGCAGGAGGCTGCCTCTCAGAAGGCGCGGGCCCTGCATCTGTAGACTATAGACTCGCCATCGCTCGGACGTCCACTCCGTGTGCTTTTTTCGGTTACGTGCGTGGTTTTTTCGCCAAATGATCAAGGATGCTCCTCGATGGTCCTCGCCGAAGGAAAAATGCACACGTCCGAGCGATGCCGAGTAGATGCAGGGCCCGCGCCTTCTAGCAGCCCCCTTCTAGGAAGCCTTGCCCCCCCCCCTCAGTACCCCCCCCCCCCCCTGCGCGTGGCCCACCCTGGGCATCTGCCAGGGCGAGCCTCGGCTGCAAGCCAGAGCGACCCTTGGCAAGAGTGGGCCTAGGATTCTGCTGCTCTCCATCGCACTTACAGTCTGGTCCCTGAAGAAGGAACCCTTTTCGTTGGAGAGGGGTTCGGCGTTCCTTGATTGTTCTGCAGTTTGCCTTCAGTTTTCCTGAGGTTTTCCATGGGAAATCGAAGTTCAACGTATGGGAGAAAGGGGCCCCGTTCCTCATTTAGGGTTCCTTAGGTCAACGCCCCGACTGTAAGGACCACATCCCAGAAATGATCTGAGCACCCAGAGAAGTATCGAAACGGTGCCGAGCGAGTATCGCCTTCCAGGGCCCCCCACACGCGAGGACCCTCAAGTTTCGGTACCTTCTTGGTGCTCGAAATTACTTCTGGTGATCAAGGCTGACGCATTGTAGCAGCATAAAACTTTGGTGCGCGGCTTGAGGGGGGGCACGCCCAAACGCGCCAACCGATGCTACCGCGATCGGGGCGGCCCAGTGGGCCGGCACCGAAGGTCACTCCGGCGAAGGGTCACTCTTACAGCAGGAGCTCGACCACAAGAGGAAGCCTTCCACGAGAAATACAACCCCGGGATCCCAGGACGTCCATGGATGCCTGGTGTGGGAACGTCACGCTTTCCAGAGCAAGAGCAGCGAAGCCCAAGAAATCCAAGGCACCCTGGAGGCAAACAGGGTGCTTTTGGGCATGTGTTTTGTTCCGCTGTGCGGTGTAGTAGTCAGGTCCTTCAGAGCTCGATCCCTGGACCTCTGCTGGGACGAACCTCGGCCAGAACCCAGATCTCCGACGACATGCTCAGTTCACCCGGTCAGAATGAGGGGGCTGAACCGAACGGTCATTCACTGTCCCTGGGTGCTTGGCTGAAGAAGAATTCCGCGATGCAGAATCTTGTTGTTGTTGTTTGTGGCCGTCGTCCCACCCGCGACCCGCGACCCGCCCCGCGACCCACCCGCGACCCACCCCGCGACCCACCCGCGACCCACCCGCGACCCACCCCGCGACCCACCCGCGACCCACCCCGCGACCCACCCGCGACCCAGCCGCGACCCACCCGCGACCCACCCCGCGACCCGCCCGCGACCCAACCCCCCTGGCGACCCACCCGCGACCCACGCGACCCACCCGCGACCCACCGCGACCCGCGACCACCCGCGACCCACCGCGACCCCCCGCGACCCACCCGCGACCACCGCACCCGCGACCCACCCCGCGACCCACCCAAAATTTTCGGCGCCTGAGGCGGTTGTTTGTTGCATTCGTTCCAAGTGGAGAACCTGCGACCCACCCGCGACGCAAACCGCGCCCGCGACCCATTCGCGACCCACCGCGACCCACCCGAGACCCACCCGCGACCAACCGCGACCCACCCAAAATTTTCGGCGCCTGCGGCGGGTTTCTTGTGCATTCGTTCCCAGCGGGGAACCTGCGACCCACCTGCGACCCAAACCGCGTCCAGTGTACAAATCAAAATGTTTGGCGCCTGCGGCGGGCTGTTTTTGAATTCGTTCCACGTTGGAGGTGGAGACCCGCGACCCACCCGCGACCCAAGCTACGTTCACTGAACAAGCCAAAACTTCGGCGCCTGCGGCGGACTTCTTTTGCGTGTGGAAAACCTGCGACCCAAACCGCATTCAAATCAAGATGTTTGGCGCCTGCGGCGGGCTGTTTTTGAATTCCTCCCAGGTGGAGGTGGAGAGCCCGCGACCCACCCGCGACCCAAACTACGTTCACTGAACAAGCCAAAAATTCGGCGCCTGCGGCGGGCTGTCTTCGCATTCGTTCCGGGTGGCCCACCAGCGATCCCCCCCGCGCTGAACTTGTCAGAGCAAGCAATTCGGCGCCTGCGGCGGGCTTGCTCGCACTGGTTTGGGAAAGCGCCCTCGTGCCATACCCCCGATCCGGCCCACGTTGACTCTACAACAGCACATCGGCGCCTGCGGCGGGGCTGTGTCTGAACACGTTCCTTGACAATCCAGTTGCCTGTTGCCGCCGAGGAGGGGAGGAGGAGCAGAGCGAGGAGCAGGAGGAGGAAGACGACGACCACGACGACGAGTGCGAGGACGAAGAGGAGGCCGACGACGAAGGCGAGGAGGAAAAAGGAGGGGGGGACGGAGGGGGGCGACGAGAAAGGAGGGAGGAGGAGGGGCAGGAGGACGACGACGACGGAAAGAAGGAGGGGGGAGGATCGGGATGGGGGAGGAAGACGAGAAGGCGGAGGAGGAGGAAGAGGAGGAGGAGGAAGAGGAGAAGGAGGAGGAGGAGGAGGGGGGGGGAGGAGGAGGAGGAGGAGGAGGAGGAGGAGGAGGAGGAGGAGGAGGAGGAGGAGGAGGAGGAGGAGGAGGAGGGGGGGGGAGGAGGAGGAGGAGGAGGAGGAGGAGGAGGAGGAGGAGGAGAGAGGAGGAGGAGGAGGAGGAGGAGGAGGAGGAGGAGGAGGAGGAGGAGGAGCAGGAGGAGGAGGAGGAGGAGGAAAAGGAGGAAGAGGAGGAGGAGGAGGAGGCGGACGACGACGACGACGACGATGAGGACGAGGACGCGGACGAGGAAGAGGAGGAGGAGGAGGAGGAAGAGCAGGAGAAGGAGGAGGAGGAGGACGACATCGACAAGGAAGGTGAGGGTCACGAGGTCCGCCGGCTCGACGCCCGCGTCGCCCGCGCCCGCCCCCTCACTCTTATCCGCAATTGCGGGGTGCTACGTATTTTCCCTTGGACCTCGGCCTCTGCAGAAGCCGAGCTCCAGGGAAAGAGGTTGATTGGACAATCGTATCGTCATATTATGTGTATGTTATACATGTTGGTAGTAAAGGATGCTCCGCTAGGTTCTGAACCGTTGATATGTTGCATTTGAGACCTGCTGCTGAGCCAACTTCCCACTCAGGAAACAGTGCGGTCATCCAGGTGGGGTCCGTTATCGGGCTCCGGGGCCGTCAAACATTCGCTGCAACGACCTTGCAGACGTGCTGCAGCGAATTTTGTGTGGATTTCTGTCAGTGCAAAGCTCCGAAAAGGCGAGCGAACATCGAAATTAATTTCACGTGGATTTGTTGTAGTCGTCAATCCTGGCCAGAAAGATCTGCACGGAATCCATTGCTTTTTCCAAACGAAAGCCGCTCTGCGATGTTGGCGCCATGAAAACATGGATCGAGGATGCAGGCCTATCCTTTTTCTTGCGTCGGCGGCTCGGCAGGGGGTGACTGCGCTGGCGATGAGAAGCTCGAACGGGCGTGCCGTTGAAGCGAGTTGCGCAGAACTGCACACACTGGGTGTAAAGGTCGGGGGCTCTGGCGCTGCGGATTGATGAAGCAAAATCATGTCGGGACGCGTTGCGGAACTTCGTAGGGAGTCTGGCCGCGGCGGCGGCGAGAGGCCTCTGGGCGGCCCGGGGCGAGAAGCGCGCAGCAGAACACCTCGGCTCCCAACGCCCCCCAAGAACATAAAACTAGCATTCGAAACCTTGTGCTTATGTGTTGTCCAACCCTCCCTCTGGCCGGCTCCTCGTTTTTCCCCGCATCCTGAAGGGGGCTCTTGCTCCCCACAGCCGTGGTGGGGTTACTGTTCTTCTCTGAACACCCCACGCAGCTATTACATCTCATGCACTCCTCTCTTTGCACATACATTTGCACACCCACTTTCACACTCATGACCATCATTCCACGATCACCATCCCATCATCATGATCATCGGTCGCCATCATCACACTCACACACGCCCGCACAATAACATACTCTCACAGTCATCTTGAGGACGTTTCCAGCGGGAGCCTCGTCTCTGAGAAAACTGTGAGGAAGTCTCCAGCGGGATCCCACTCCACATGGGGCCGCCAGATCACGTTATTCATCCGAGCGGGTCATCCATGACTGATATTATCAGTCGCCACTTTTGGACTCCTGAGTCATGATTCTGGAGAAAGCCTCGATCGGGAGCCTTGTCCCTGAGTGAATTGTGAGGACGTCACGAGCGGCATTGCACTCCCTATGCGGCCGCCAGATCATGTTACTGATCAGAGCGAGTCATCCAGACCCTGTAACTGTCGTCATGATTGGGCCCCTGTGGCATGAATCTGGAGAACGTCACGACGGGAGCCTCGTTTCTGGACGACTTGAGACGACGTTTAGAGCAATAACCCCCTTCCTATGGGGCCGCCAGATCATGTTACTAATCCGAGCGGGTACCCGTAACTTGCACGGTCAACCCGCATCGTAAGGATGCACGGTAAGGGTGCTAAGGGCCTTGGAAGCCCATGTTAACGTTTTTCGAGCGAGGGTGGCCAGCAAAAGCCGCTAAGGATGGGCCACAGGGGCAAGGGTGCAAGGGTAGCCTTAGGAAGGTTGCCCATCCTTGCAATGCGGGTTGACTGTATCTGTCGTCGCTGTTGGGCTCCAGAGGCACGAACCTGGAGAAAGTCTCGAGCGGGAAGTTCGTCTCGAGCGAGGGCAAGAGGAGGAGGCCTCAGAAGGCTCCTGGAGGCCCCAGGATGCTCCAGGGGGGCCCAGAGCATGAGGAGGAGGAGGAGGAGGAGAAGGAGGAGGAGGCGGCGGAAAGAGGAGGAACACGAGGAGGAGGAGGGGGGCCACTGCATTAGGGAAACGATTCCCGAGCAGAGCAAGACGCACCACGACCACGACGACGCCTCGGACAACAACGACGACGACGGAGACGACGACGATGGAGACGAGGCGCACCGAAGCACGGATTCGGGAAAGGGCCCACCCTGCAGGTTCGGTTAAACAGCACATCGTTGAGCGGTGCTGCAGCCTCCCCTGAGCACAGGCCCCCCCAGAGCATCGGCCAGACAAGGCGGGCTTGCACCCGTATGCATTGCTGGTCTCTGGGCGCGTTTCGGCACCCTCTCCCCAAACCTCGTCCGGGCCACCGACAAGGGAGAAGGCGGCGGTGGCCGACGCCTCCCTGAGCTAAGAAGCTCGAAGCGCCACGGCTCAGAGAGCCGGGAAGGAGGAGGAGGAGGAGGAGGAGGCAGGAACAGGAGGAGGAGGCATGAGGATGACGCAGGAGGAGCAGACAAGAGCAGAATGAGGAGGCAGAAAGGGGTCGGAGGACATCTCCACGCAAGCGAAAATAGGATCGTGTGGGATCCTACCGTCGAGCAAGCCTCGAGAGGGAGCCGCGTCGGTGAGGGAATCGCGAGGGCGTCGCGAGCGGGAGCCCTCTCCTCACGGAGCCCACAGATCTTGCTACTAGTCCAAGAGGGGTTATCCAGGACTTGTGAGGAACCGAACTCTACACACTGACGCCTTTCTCTGGCCTCACACGGAATCTCGCACAAGAAAGCGGCTCCTGGTGTATGCGGTATCCCGGTGTGTATACACTCTTCGTTGTTCGCCCGGGAAAGACGGGGAACAAGTACACACCACACCACCCCGACGTCGCCCCCGACCCTCAGAAAAGTCCTGGGATGAGCCCAATATCGAATCGATAAGTCGGATCGGCAATCGCAATACATCGGATCGGAGGAAATCGGCAGCCCAGTCGGGAAAAGTCGAATCGGCGGAAATCGGCAGGCTAGTAGGCCTCCATTGAGAAATCGGAGCCCAAATCGGAATCCGAAGTCGAATCGGATCGGAATCGGAAGCCATCGAAATCGAATCGAATCGGATCGGAGGAATCGAAATGAGCCCAACCGCCCGCCACTGGTAATGTATATGCTCCAATTCCGAGCTTGTACCTGTCGTCCCTTTTGGTGTTGTGGGGCATGCATCTGGAGGACCTCTCGGGCGGGAACCGCGTCTGTGATTGAATCGCGTGGACTCCTCGAGCAGGAGCCCCGTCTGCATGGGCCCCGGACACCATGCTGCTTGCCTGTGTCGTCACTTTTGGGGTTGTGAAGTCTTTGAGTGTTGGGGAAATCTTGAGCGGGAGCCTCGTCTGTGAGTGCACCGCGGGGACGTCTCGAGCGGAAGCCCTCTCCTGACGGGGCCCGCAGATGATGTTACTACTCCGAGAGGGTCCTCCAACACTTGTAAGTGTCGTCACGCTCTTGGGGTGTGAGGCTTGAATGCGGAGGCAATCTCGAGCGGGAGCCTCGTCTGCGAAAGAACCGCGAGGACTTCTCGAGCCGGAGCCCTCTCCTTACGAAGCCCGCAGATCAAGCTGCTAGTCCAAGAGGGTGAGTCATCGAGAACCTGTAACCGTCGTCACTTTCGAGGGTGTGATGCTTGAGCGTTTGGGGAGGTCTCGAGCGTTAGCCTCGTCTCCAAGTGAATCCCGAGGAACTCTCGAGCGGAAGCTCCCTGATTCAGGGCCTGCAGATCATGTTACTAACCTGAGGGGGTCATCCAGAATATATATATATATATATATATATATATATATATAAGAAACTGTCGTCACCTTTGGGGTTGTGAGGCCCACGCGCTACTCGTAAGACTCACATGTAGAGTATCTCCCACTCAGACCTCTTCATGCGCAGCCTCATTCATACTCAGACTCACTCGTATTCAACACACCGATCCATTCAGACTCAAGCCGAATCGATTCCCATGTTGGGGCAACACCGTCGGCGTAATTGATGAAGCACTGCTGGTCTCCATCATCCCTCTTCTCCCTCTTCTCCTCCGCCGCCTCCTCCGCCGCTTCCTCTTCCTCCTCCTCCACCGCCTCCTCCTCGTCCGCAAAACGCTCCTCCCTTCTTCCCGATGCCCCGTGCCTGGCCCACCTCGTCGCGGCGCCCGGGGCCGCCCCGCCGCGAGTGCTTCGCGAGCCGGTGCCACGCCGTCGCCAAGCTGATGGGCGACCAGGAGGCAGGAGCCTCTGCGGTGCAACGACGAGGGGGCAACGATGGTCGCCTCCTCCACCTCCTCCTCCACCTCCTCCACCTCCTCCTCCTCCACCTCCACCTCCTCCTCCTCCTCCTCCACCTCCTCCTCCACCTCCTGAACCACCTCCTGAACCACCTGCTGAACCACCTCCTCCTCCTCCTCCTCCTCTCACCTCCTCCTCCTCCTCCTCATCCTCCTCCTCCTCCTTGCCCCCCCCCCCCTCGGAGCCTATCCTACCAGGAGGACGCCCTCTTTCCACCTACACCGACCCTGGCCAGGCCCCTCCTGGACAAAAGATCGGTGGATACGCCCTCCTGGCATGGGCGGGAGGCGCATCCTGGCCGGGATACGGGTCCCCCCCCCGCAAATCCCGATCCTTTCCCCAGGGCCGGTTTTTCATCGCGAGTCGTTTTGGTAGCTGCCCAGGGGCCCGGCGAGCCCCCACCCCCCCCCGGAGGCTGAACCCGTCGTAATTTGTCACGACGCTGATGGCAACCACCCCAAGTCTCGAAACCTTCCCAGAAACTTGGGCGGACGTTGGAACTCTTGCGAAAATGATTCTAAGCGTCGCGGAAACATTCGAAAACAACGAGACCAGCGCCCATGCACCGTACCATGTCTGGACTCCGTTCAGGCCCCGTCCAGCGCGGTACTGTGCATAGTTTGCTCGTCTCTGGAGGGATCGAAGAGCTATGCACCGTACCGCTCCTGGGTCGAGTATCGACGACGCCACGAGAGGCGCCAACGCGGTACGGCGCACACATGCCGTCCGCGGAAAAACTGCCCCCCCGAAAGCTTATCTTGCATCCTCGGAGGACCTTGTCTGTCCCGTCGCGGCCCTATCCGCGTCGAATCCGTGTCAAATCTATGTCGGCCTCGTCGGATCCGTGTCGGATCCGTGTCGGATCCGCGTCGGCTCCACGCCAAATCCGCGTCGAATCCACATCGAGCCCGCGTCCGGCACAAGACAAGACCCTAATTTGAGGGACAGGCGAGGTCCCCCGAAAGTGCAACGTAATAAAGCCCCCGAACACTTACCTTGCCCCTGTTGAGCAGGGATCCACCGCCCCGGCATTTCTAGAGGCCTACCTACGAACCAAGTCCATGTTCTTGAAACCAGAGCCCGATGTGTCAAAACAAGACCGTCTCAGCCAGAACTGTTCTGAGACCACATCGCGCAGACCGCACAGGGTTCTCAGAACATCCTTCGGTGGGCCTTTCTTGGGCGCCCGAGTTATCCGGGGTAACTCGGGTCCGGGGTAACTCGGGTTTGGATTCCCGAAAATGGAACCCCGAGTTAGCCCTGACCCGAGTTGCCCCTGATGATGTGGGGCTCTGGACGCCCGAATTACCCGCGGTGACTCGGGCCCGGGGTAACTCGGGTCCGGAATCCCGAACAGCGAACCCGAGTTAACCCTGACCTGAGTTACCCCTGATGATTCGGGGCTCTGACTACCCTGACCTTCCAGAGAGCTATTTTTTAGCACTGGAGACCTAAAAACCTAAAAAACTAAACGAAACAGCCTAAAACCAAGACGTAGAATAGCTCTGGGATAGGTTTTTAGGTCGGGTGCTATTTTTTAGCCCTCCTGGAAGGTCAGGGTACAGGCGAGCCAGGACGCTTCGCCACTGCTTCACCCCGCGCCTCCCGCAGCGCGCCGAGCACCGCGTCCAGGCTGCCGCAGCTGGCCAGCCGCTGCTGGAAGCCGCCCGCGCCGCCCCGGCGCCGGCGGTCGGAGGGCCCCTCCCCGCTGCGGCGCGGGCGCTTTGAACGGTCGGCGCCGTCGATCCAAACGTCATCGCCGTCTCGGTCGTCCCGCCCGTTCGCCAGGTGAGGGCGCAGAGACTGCAGAACAAAGAGGAGGAGGATGGGGAGGAGGAGGAGGAGGAGGAGGAGGAGGAGGAGGAGGAGGAGGAGGAGGAGGAGGAAGAGGCCGCCGCCGCGCTTCCGCGGGCCCCGGGCTCCGACGTCGCCAAGACTATGCAGCATCCAGGTCGGGCATGTCCTGCTACAGGCAGAGTTTGGAAGCCAACTAAAACACAGTCAAAAACAAAGGACCGACAGAAAGAGCATGGAACATCGGCACCAAACTACTTTTTACTATTACTGAGCATTCCTCCTGCAGCGAGACATGTCCGACTCAATGCAAAATCGCAAGAGATCACGACTGGAGCCCCGGACCTCATCTTTCAGCGTCATGTTTGAACCCCGAACCGATGTGTGAGGGTCCTGAGGCCCGAAACGGAGCAAACCCTCCCGTTATGACAAAAGTGCAACGCCAGGTCTCGCCATCGCTCGGACGTCCACTCCGTGTGCCTTTTTCGGTTTCGTGCGTGGTTTTTTCTCGCCAAATGATCCAGGATGCTCCTCGATGGTCCTCGCAGAAGGAAGCGTGCACACGTCCGAGCGATGCCGAGAGGTTCTCCGGGGGAAGCTCTCGGCCCCCCGACCGTCTGACGTCATGATTTTTCATCACGTTGACACCCTGAGGTCTCGCCCCTTTCCCGGGACCGGTTTCTCGTCCCGAGTCGTTTCTTGATGGTCCCGAGGCCCCGTAAGAGCCCCCGGAGGCCGAGAATAGCGACAAGCCTCCCGTCGTGATTTTTTCATGGCCCGAGGGGGTCCGGGCCTGGAGCTCCCCGCCCCAGACAGGCTCGCGCATCGAACAGTGAGCGTGGCCGCCCCTCTGTCTGGTTCGCTTTGTTCAGCCCCTCGGGGCCGTCCCTGGGCCTCGGGGCCCCCAGACACGCAGCTCGGGCGGGAAGGGGCCGGCCCCGGGGAAGCGGTCGGGAGGTCCAAGGCACATGCTCCGCAAATACCGGAACGCCAGGCCCAGACCTCCTCGGGTCATGAAACAATCATGTCGGAGGGCTTTTCGTTATTCTCGGCTTCTGGGGACCCTTATACCGGGCCTCGGGACCTTCAAAAAATGACTCAGGATGAGAAACTGGTGCCGGAGATTGGGTCGAGACCTCTGGGGGTCGACGTTTTGAACAAATCATGGCGTCGGGGGTCTGTGAATTAAGACGAAGCCAGGACGAAGATAAAACTGGACGAAGACAGATCGAGAATCTATGAGATCCAGCGGCTCTGGAGAATGCCTCGGGCGCCGCGGCCTTCTCAGAGCGTTCCAGAACGCTCTGGAACGGATTAATCCTCGTCCTATAGCCCCGTCCGAGGCGGGCCCTGAGATCCCTGCCGGGGGGCGACCCTTCGTCCGCGCCCGGATTGCGGGGACGTCTCGAGCGCTTCGCTTGTGCGGTGTCCCCGACTCTTCTCTCTCTTGTCGGCGGTGGACAAACCTCCCTTTAGTAAACCTCCCCTTAGTGAAAACGGCCTGGGACCGAAACCGACGGACCTGGACCCGCAAAAATGACGGCCGCGACGCCCTCCCGCGAACCGAAAACGGCCAATTCCTTAATCGACGTGTCAGGGTAGGAGGTCTGTCCACCCCCGACCCAGACCCCCGACGTCATGATTTTTTCATGACGTCGACCCCCAGAGATCTCGACCCATTCCCCGGGACCGGGTTTGCATCCTGAGTCGTTTTTTGATGCTCCCGAGGCCCGGTGAGGGCCCCCGGAGGCCGAAAATGAGGGAAAACCTTGCCTCCTGAATTTTTCATGCCTCGAGGGGGTCTGGGAGGGGCTCTGGGGACCCCCCTGCGGAGCAAGCTGCCCCTCCGCGCCGCCTGCGGTGGCCCCCCGACCGCCCGCGCAGCTGCCGAGGCCGGGAGCTGCACGTGCCCGACCGCCAGGGGCAGGGGCGCCCCCGGGCGGCCCCGGTTGCGGCCCCGGCTGCGGACACCAGCTGGGCCTTGGGAGAGCCCGCGCTCGAGTCCCGATGTTCCTTCTCGTCGCGGGCCGCCCCCATCACTTCTTGCACTGCCTTGCGCTTTTTCGTTCTGCCCTTACTCTGTAGGCTCAGACTTGCAATGATCACAAACCTGCTCTTCAATTAGGGTTCTACCAACCGGTCTCTTCCCCCCTGCCCAGACCTTCCGATCTACTAAAAAATTAGTGTTCCAGATAAATAATTTACCTTTTTATATTTTTATTATATTTCGTTTTCAAGTTCATATTCGCGCACTCCTAGCTTTACGTTTTTATATTTAAAAGATAAAAAGATAAAAATATAAAAATATATAAATACAACATATATGTTATATCATATGTTTGAATTATATGATATGGACGTATAAGGTGCCGAGATTGGGGAAGCGCGTAATCGCCTGGCGGGCGCGCGTCAGAGCGCGTCCGTGCGGTCTTTCTCTTTGCTACGCTTCGCTCCTTCGTACTGCGCCGCTGCCTCTGAGGGGAGCAGGGAAGGGAGCGCAGGCAGGAGAGAAGGTGCGGAAGGAGGAGGAAACAAGGGAAGAGGAGGAGGAGGAGGAGGAGGAGGAGGAAGCGAAGGTGAGATGGGGGAGAGGAAGCGGAGGAGGGGAAGGTGAAGGCACGGCGTGCCAGGGGGGGCGGTCGGAGAAAAACCTAAAAGAGGGGATGGTAGACGGGGGGGGTCACAGTTTCTGGCGTTCGGGAATGTTTCTGTAATGATTATGTCGCTTCTCATCTGGCATGCACTTGGGGAGGGGCGGGGGGGGGAGACGGGGGGATGTATGATATGCCGCAGTGTTGGCGCCAAGGCCCAAGCTTGCACGGTAGTGATTTCGAGCCTACCAGCAGATTGATGGCCACGCCGACGGCGGTGGCACAGGAGGGGCGAAGTTCAAACTCAATGGCGAAAGCCTTACGATCAAGAACTGGGGTGGGGGAAATGAAAATTATACTTTTCATATCCCCCACCCCAGTTTAAACAGGAAGAGGAAGAGGAGGAGGAGGAGGAGGAGGAGGAGGAGGAGGAGGAGCTGGAGGGCGGTGGGCGAGGAGGAGGGGTCGGAGAAACGTTTTTGTGTTGGGGGAAGTGACATTACAGATTTTTTCTGTTTTCGGGAATGTTTCTGTAATGATTCGGTTTTCGGTAATGTTTCTGTAATGATTCTGTTTTCGGGAATGTTTCTGTAATGATTCTGGTTTCGGGAATGTTTCTGTAATGATTCTGGTTTCGGGAATGTGTCTGTTTTGATGTTGGGGGGGACATAGATTTTCGCCGAGTTTGGATTTCGAGGAGAGCGAGAGCGCGTCGCCGTGCGAGAGCCTGGAACCATTCAGCAAACGCCAGAGAGTGGAACCATCACAGCCAGGCTGCCCGAGCACTCAGCACGACGGCGTCGACGACGCCGAGCATGGTTTTCGTACCCCAGAGCGCTCGCCTCTGGCACCAGGATCCCCTCTAGCATCGGAGCCCGACGATGACGGCGCAGCACAGCTGGCAGCAGCAGCAGCAGCCCTTTCCCCAGCGACGTCGCAGCAGTCCGAGGGAACCGCCGCGGAGGTGATACCGTCCGACGGCCCGTCCGAGGAGGAGGAGGAGGAGGTGATCGAGGTCGATGTTGAGGCGGTGATCCCGTCCGAGGATCTCGAGTCGGTGGACCCTGGGGCGACCGACGAGCAGATTGCCGAGCAGTTTCAGAACGAAGAGTATCGGCTCGCCATCCATCACCGCGAAGAACTCGCAAAGATCCAGACCGAGCAGGGCGGGGACTCCGAGTGTGCGCCTGCTGAGAGCGTCGAGCCTGCAGTTTCGCGCCTGCCAAACCCGTTTCCAGCGTTTCGTCGTGAGGTGTCCGATGATGACTCCGACAGCATTGTAAGCGCATCGACGCTTGGTCTCGCTTGAACTTTTTAAAAAGAATAACGGGCTGAGTGATCATTCTTGCCTCGAGGCAAGAGTGAGCGGGAGAGGGCAGGGGAATGATTCCACCCTTCCCCCATCTCCTCCTCCTCCTCCTCCTCCTCCTCCTCCTCCTCCCTCCTCCTCCTCCTCCCTCCCCCTCCTCCCTCCACCTCCTCCCCCCCCAGGGGTTTCACAGGAGATGGGGGAAGAGAGGAATCATTCCAGAGCATGGTTCAACATAAAACGTCTTACACACGGTTCTTTCAACACTTCAGCTTCCCCAGGACGTCTCGAGCGAAACGCTAGTGTTTGGTACCTGGCTAGATTTTGCGAGCAACTTCAACATCTCCATTTCACGAGGATGTCTCAAGCGAAAGCATCGTTGTCAACAGAACGCTCTTAACAAACAGCCCATTCAGCATATATTTCATTGTTCTGAGGATGTCTCGAACGATACGGCCGAACAAAAAATAAGGTCCTTTGGGGGTGGGCTCCAAGGTTCACACGTGGCCCCCCAGGATAAGTATGCACATGCACCGCGATGTCAGACCCGAACCTCCGTAGCCATTTTGGCTTCACCCGAGCATCAGTTGATTACTTAAGTTTCACACCGATTCTTCATAACGAATGGGGAAACGAAAGCGCGTTTTATGTTATCGACACCAGACGGACACTCCTGGAGAGCTGGCCAAACATTTGGTGTTCTCTTTGCACATAATCTTTCGAGAAGGTTTGTACCCCTCGTCTGATTTCAAGAAGGGCGTGCACGTTCCGTTCCTCGTCTGGGCGGCGCCGACGCTGCGGGGACTCATCGAACTTGACTCGAGGGGGGGGTACTTCACCCAAACCGACATGGACGAAGCCGTGCGACAAGCCATAACCGATGAGACCCGCAAAGATCTTCACAACTTATCCCGCAAACTCGTAAAGACACCAGAGAACACAGAGAGGCTCATCGCATACTCATACAGAACGATGCTGGCACACGTTAGGCTGCAGATGGACGCGTACATGACTGGTGTATTGAAATATGGGAAAGAATTCGGCACCACGTATTCTGCTAGTCACCCCCCCGAGCTCGTGGACATGTATAACCTCATGGAAGACACATACGAGCCCATCTACGTGGGAACCACTGTGAAAAAGAAAGCCAAGTTGCCGAACCCCTTCCCAGCGTTTCGAGACGACCCAGCCGATGAAGATTCTGACAGCGATTCAGTTATGAGTGTGTCCTCAGGCGATGAAGCTATTGTGGTCAACTACGAGACAGTCGATGGCAAGATTTGCAAACGAATGTGCAATGGCTCGCTCATTCCATCAAGCGGGGTCAAACCTGGCGCCGACGGTTTCGCGATCGCCTTTTGGAAGGACGGGTCGGAGCACTTGACATTGACGCCGAACTCGCAGATTATCGACGGACAGTGCATCGAGGATTACAGGAGATTTCATGGGGGGGCAGGAGGAGGAGGAGAAGGAGGCTGGAGGAGGAGGAGGAGGAGGAGGCTGGAGGAGGAGGAGGACTGGAGTAAACAGGTGATGTTTAACGATGCTGCAGTACACTCCCCCGTCTTAAGCACCCTCCTCATGGGTCCATACAAGTTGTCCTTTGCAAAGCGGGAAGGGGCCCCATCGACAGACGTGGACAACCGAATACTCCATGCATCTTACTTGCCACTCCTCGTCCTCCTCCCGATCCCTTGTTTTTCCAAAAACCAGTTAGTAAAGCACACTCCTCCGCATCCTACTCCTCCTCCTCCTCCTCCTCCTCCTCCTCCTACTACTACTCCTCCTCCTACCTCACTCCGCGGACTACTCATCCTCTTCCTCTTCCTCCTCCTCCTCCTCCTCCTCCTCCCCATCCTCCTCCTCTTCCTCCTCCTCCTTATGCCCTTTTTGGGCGCATGAGGGGAGACTGCGCGACTTTTTTTCCGTCGCCTCCAGGCCGTTGCCGCCAATGCCGAAGGCCAGCACGGCGAAGGCCAAGGCAAAGGCCAAGATGGCGGCGATCGTGGATGCAGCCGTGGCGAAGGCCGTGGCCCAGGGTGAGCCCTCTGGCGGCGCGGAGGAGGCCGCTGAGCCCGCAGATGCCAAGGCCGCTGCGCCCGCAGCGAACAAGGCCGTGTGCAAGAAACCAGCGGCTGCCCATAAGAGGCCAGCTGCAGTGCCAGTTCCCCTCTCCGACGATGAAGGCCCGGTGGCCAAGAAGCCAGCTGCAGCGCCTGTTGCCCCGCCTGCACCCGCAGCGATCGAGGTGCTCAGCCAGGAGGCGTCCCCTGATATCGAGCCACCCGAATATATCAAGCCGATCGCCCTGAGGTCGACGCCAGGCCATAATGGCTCAATTACCTTGGTCATCATAACAGCCAACAAAGACAAGGCACAGGTCCTGGCGGTCTCCCCGAAGGAAACAGATACCCCGAACATGATCATCAGGCAGGTGATGATTGATGTCTCTCCGCACGTCGACAAACTGACAGGCAAGGTGAAGGACCTGAATCCCGAGATCATCGAGGATATCAGGACCAAGTGCAAGGCGTCCAAAGCTTATTGGATCCTCCACCCCCCCGCAGTCTGAATTCGAAGGCTGCTGCCGACCTTGCGTGCGCGAGCTGTCTCATTTGGTGCGCTCGCGCATTCCATATCCCTTGTGCCGCTGCCGCTCTGTATCTTGCAAGAAATCTTGCTCGCTGGAAAACGTACTCTCCTTCCTCATCCCCCTCCTATCCACCGCCGTCCCCTTTCCCCTCACCTCCCCCCTCCCTCGCATCCTTTCCCTTTCTCATCTCTCTCCTCTTGATCCCCGTGAATCCTCCTCTCCTCTTCCTCCTCCCCCTCTTTCCACTTCCCGCCAATCCCCCTCCCCCCCTTGTTGACCGACGTCGGCGCTGCAGTCGGCGCGTGCGTCGGAGCCTGGTCGTCGCTGCCGTCGGGGGCGCACCGAGGCATCATCCTCCCTTCCTCCTTCACCCTCTTCCTATTCCATTCCTCCCTCGCTTCCTCTCCTTCGCCCCCACTCTCTTTTTCATCTGACCGTCGGGGCCCTGGGACTGCTGCTGTTGCTGCGCGCGAGGGTGTCGATTTCC